TAGAGGTTTTGTCTTAACTTTAGCCTATCTGGGTATAACTTTTGAACACGTGGGACTGACATTTCTCATCGCTAGCCTTGCCAGGGATCAAGTCTGCTGAAATGGATGGCCCACCCTTCATTTCACTTGAAGTAATATGACTTTGGTATAAGTAGGGGTTTGCTTTGTTACAGATGTAAGGGGCATTTTTCAGGGAATGCCACATCATTTGTCAAATAATCTCACAKAGGCTGAGAGGTGGCAGAAAATTAGACATCTGTGCAGAGGTGAAGAGGTTGTTTGGGATAAATATCTCATYTCCTGATTGCAAAGGATGTATATGTGCATGCTATAATGCAGCTTACATTTCTATACAKCTTACATTTCTATAATGCTTTAATTCAGGGAGACTGATAGCTTTGAACTTTCTCACTGAGCAATACTTAGACAACGAAAACCTTCAGCTTAATGCCTTTGAACTTTGCAGGAATTAGAGCTGCAGCCAACACTGGTGATTTAAACCATCCTCCCTGGCCCTAAAGACTTTTGGGTGCTGCCTGAATTGTTGTTAAGGGTTGGTCTGAGAAACCCTACCCACCCCAGATGCACCTTTTCTCTCTTCTGTGGATGTATCTATGGACTTGGCTTCAGATTCAGCTAGGTTCTAGCTTTACCCAATGCCTTTTCACAGACTGTGGCCCAGGAGATGGTTCTGTGAAGGACGTGGAGCGGACCGTGGTTTGGAGCCCTTCTTTCAAATGAGTATGGATAGACCACCCTTGATAGTCATTCTGAGAGAAGCAATACTTAACTAAGAGGTTATAAATAAATAATAAAAGGTGCTACTAATTGATCTAGACTGACTCCTTGTACTCTTAACGGTTTGTTTGATATTAGGGTCCAAGTCGAATAATAATGACAGCTTTTTTTGTCGTTTTTTTGAACTAGTAGGGAGGAAGTGACCTTTCAGTGAGAAACTCTAGTCACACTTGCCATGTTCCACTCCCAGAGACATGAAACAAATCCTCTTTTGCTTATTTCCCACATTATCTTTCTGGTCTCTGTTCAAAGTTGAAGACTGTGATACAGAAAGGCCTGAGAGATTCAACAAAAGCACCAAGAAAGTGAAGAGCCAACTGTTAAACAGACAGCAGTCATTGTTTTTAGTGTTTTGGTTTTTTTTTTTTGATTATAGTAAGATAATCTCTTTAGAAAAACACTATCTTGATGTCACTAGGCTMATTTTCTTAGTAAGGTGGAGGATGCTTTGTCAGGGATTGAACTAATCTCCTCCTTCCCATCAAATCTGAGATCCTACCTGTGTCTCTAAGAAATGATATTTTGGTGTGAAAACCTTTGCATTGGAATGACTTTGTGCAGCAGTCGCCTAGTTCAGTAAGCTGTCTGCTATCCTGCAAACCACAGAAGAAATGAGTGGGCCTGCAGTGAATTTAATCAGCTAATGATTTAACACATATTTGCGGGAAAAAAAAAACCTGTGACCATCTAGAAATCTGCCTTTACAGCTGTAAATGTACCTTTTTGCTGTCCTTGGGAAGCTACATGAGGAAAGAAGGGAAATTAGTTTGTAAATTGGTGTTATTTGAAAATAAATAAATAAACATATAAAAAAACCCTCTTGGTAACTCTTAAATTCAGATGCAAGAGTTTACCCTTAGAGTTACTGCTTACCTTAAGACACACTGGGCAACACCAGGATTCTCACCTCAGAGAGGCTGAGTAAAGAAATACCTGGTCCTGGTCTACAGGCTTGATAGTAAYAAAGCTCCCTGTGTTTATTTCTGTCATGCTGGATGAGGATTTTGGATAATATTCWGGCAGGAAAACAAATCTCCATAATCAACATTAAAGTGAGTAACAGGAAAACCTGTCGAAATCAGTACAAAGAAGCACTGGGTTAAATGGTGTATGCCTGTACTTCTTGTGATGATAAAAGTGGATTCACAGTTCCTCAAGCAGTTACCAATATTGGTAAACAGGATGGTTAGGAAATAGCATTTTTCAACTCCATTTCAATCTTCTGGTGGACTTCTGAGCCCTGCTTTGAGTTGGAGCAATGTGGTGCAATCTCCTGCAGAACATCTGAGCAGATCTACAGGGCTTGGCATACCTGTAACGTGCACACCTATAGCCAAACAGGAAACAACAATAAAAAGCTCTGGAATAGGTAAATATGTCACGGAGTTATTTGAAAAAAGCTACTGAAAGAAACTGCTACCCTACCAGCCTTTTACAAGGCAGTTGCTCCTGGTCTGGGTGGAGATGGCCACAAAGAAGTGTCCAGGATCCTGTTCTAGCCACTTCAGCCTCAGGAAGACAGTGATAATACCTGCCTTTGAGCACCACTCGAGATGTCTTAATTCATTTAAATAAAACAATCTCATGCACAAATTTGAAAAGAATATTAATTGAGGTATGAGATACTGCTGAAGCAACGATTTGGCTACTGGTCAGAAATTTGCTCATTGGGATTCAGGGCATCCCTCGTGCTGTGCTGTGCTGTGCAGCAGAAGTAGCAGCAAGGAGCTTAAATGTTAAACGTCACTCTTGGTTTAGGAGACAGGCAGGGGGCACAGGGAGTGTTTTGCTTCAGTTTTTGACTAAGGAAGGTGCATACTGCAAATCTCCTGCAATAAAAATAAAGAATTTCCTCCTTTTCATCAGTTTACTGATACACAAGCCTTTTGCGTCTAGCCAATCCTGCGTATGTGCAGCCCCATTTATTTGTGGGGAGCCCCACAAGGTTTATTGTGACCTATTAGCAAAAGATAATGTTGTTGGCATATGCAAGTACCACTTGCCAATTACAAGCAACTCACCAAAACCTCTCCTGAAGACCATGACCAACTGAAACTCATTGCTGTCTTGTATCCAGGAAAGAGAAAAACTGAGTATGAAGAACTCGTGACACCCYAATTTGGATTTTTTTTTCTTTTAATTCTCAACAGTATATCTTTTGCCTGCAGGTATTTTGGTGCAGAAAGAGAAGGAGCAGCACCAGTTTTTTACCTTCCTTACAGCAGCTTAAATCCAGAGGAACTCCAAGGATCTTCTTGGAGACAAGGACACTTGCTCGCTGGCAGGTATATATTTCTGAGAGCAGAATATATTCCTCAAACAATTAGGTCTTATCACAGCACTCACTGAAAACGTTACATCAAAGTGTATCATGGGGCCCATTTAAAATCATTTCATTAATGATGATTAGGTAAGTACCGTTCCATGGGAGACGTTCCCATATTGCTCRCAGGAGTTATGATTCAATTCTGTTACAAGCTGTTCCACCATTTGGGTAATAACTTGTGTCATTTCGCCTTTTGTCTTGTAAAATATTACTGTATATAGGAAAAAAACAGCCACTGTTGTGCTTGCCATCACAATCTGATTAGAAAGATGCTAATAATTAAATGCTGTTCACAGTTATACTTGAAAACTCACCGCCAGCTTTTGGGATAAGATATTACAGGAAGGCAGTTGACTAATCCATCCCTCACGTATTCCMATGAATCAAGCAGATATTATTCAGTTTTTGTGCAGACAGGATGGGTTTTCTTTGCCCTTGAATAGAGACCAGTTTGGGCACTGGGCTCAGCACGGTTCCTGTTTCTAGGAGCCACCAGAAAGGATGAGTTTGTGAGCACACTGGAGACCAAAATGTGCCAAAATGAGTCTTTAAGAGGGGAGCACAAATGACACCAAGGACTGACTTAGTGCCTGGGTTTCACTTCTTACTGAAATGTAGAGGTAAATACATTTAACTAGACATGCCACCTTGCTCTCCTCTTTTTCAACCAATGTTTTATTTTTTTTCTTTTTGATTTCGGATGTTATATGCACAGAAATTATTCCTTGCCACGATAAAGAAGTAGAAAAAGCTGTAAAATTCCAACTATGGTGGGAGTTTGAACCGAGTCCCTTAACCATCAGCATGTTTCCTTTCCCACTGTTCTTATATTCTGAGTGAAGAAAAGGGCCATCTCACAAAGCACAGATTTTCAGAAACTATTCTTTTTTTTCTAGCTATACCTCGATTCTCATAAAAATCGCTATTTTTCAGCCTTTTTACTGTAACGCCCGTAGGTTTTTCTATTAATAGGGAACTTGGTGAAGTCCCCTCCAAAGAAATAGGTTTTCCAAGTTCTTAGCTCAWTCACAAAGGAACAGAGTGCACTAAATTTTGCCTCTCCATCTACTGTTTGAGCTGCAGTTGTCGCTTCTGAGTATGTGAAAATACTTTCTAAGTGTGATGTGACTAGTGACCGAATTGCTTTGCAAGGCAGAAGTTCATCACAGCCTGGATAACTGCTTAAAATGCAACATAAGCAAGTCTCTGTCAATATTTTGACTCAGTATAAACCATTCAAGCTGTATTCCTCCAGAAATACCGACACTTAATGCCAGGTTAAAGAGACTGAGAGGGTTCTGCTAAGCTGGAAGGAAACCAGCCTGGGCGGTGGGAAGACACGAGCTTCACTGCTCCMGCCAGCCAAACTCCTAACAAGGAGCTCCCAGCAAATACCTTGAAATAAAGCTTTGTTCTTGCAAGTTAAGTGGGAAACACACAGTTTTCAGACCCTGCACTGCCTTAAATCACATTTACAGACCTGCAGGAATGGTGTGACAGCCTGGTATATATGGATTTATCCATGCACACACGAATGCAGTATTTCGTGCAACTTTGATACTCGTGCTGCAGGCAAATGCTCTCTCTCCTGTTAGCAACCTCACGAGCTCAAGCCTGGAAAGGGAAAACAGAAGTTTGGGATTTAGGGCAGTGATTAGTGTATCAAGATCTTGTTAATAAAACTACGGGAAGCAACCTGTACATAGGAGTTTATTTTGATGCCCACAAGTTTTAAATCATTCCCCTTTATATCTCAGCCCACTGGATATCTCATCCAACTGAATTACCATTGGGTTTTACAACGTGATATACAAAATGAGCTCATGTTATGATTTACAAACATCCTTTGAGTATCATATAAAACACAACTGCTTCCCCTATTATACAATCATTAGGGCAATGCAAATAGTCAGTACATGAGTAGCAGAAAATGACAGGGCATGTTAAGAAAACAAAGTCAACTCTACCACACAAACCTGTAAGGTAAAATGAAAGATGTTTAATAAATAAATAAATAAATAAATAAAACCTGCAATAAAGACGTCTGAACCATTCCAAGTCTTTTTGATATTGTTTTCCCCCTTATGAGAAACATGACAGTACTTCATTTAAAAGAACACTCTGCGTTTTTCACCCTATAGCCAAACTTCGCCCTTGTTAATCAAGTTCACGTTTCCTGCATGGAAATATGGAGTCACAAACATATACTTTCCACTGTCACCACTATCCTTATTTCTGTAYTCTTTTCCAAAGACTCGGTGTGTTTAAGTGAACTAAAAGCAAAGAACAGGACACGAATGARCAGAATGAGACACAACACCACGTTAAAAAGGTGACACTTAGGCTGTAGATGCCATTGTTGTAGAAATATCTTTTTGCTCTAATGCTACAAACTCTCTAGCCTCATCAAAAAATGAATTAGACGTAAGTAAAAGGGAATGCAGAATCTCACCAGATAAAGGACTAGGGGTTTTAGTTAGTATTTCTGTCTAAACTTAAACTTCTGTGTAAACATTCACGGCAACRCTGTGTGAATGGCTAAGTTTAAAACTGAATCGTGAACGTCACAAAACATAAAAAAGAGAAAATCTGCTTCTTCCATGTTACTTGAGCAAGGAAAGTCACCAAGCGTTGAGGGCCATTTTTCATAAACGCAAAAAAAAAAAAAAAGAAAAGAAAAGGATCCTGAACTCACCTCAATATCACTATAATTAAAAGCAAAATCCTACCTACCATATTCCAACTGTATCATCTTAAGGCTCTTCTGACTGTTTTATCACTGCACATCCCAGAGGAATTATATCCCTTTCCAACATTCGCAGTTCCTCCTGCAAAACAGACTACTGATAAGAGCTAGCGACTCCTTCTGAAACTGTGGTGGAATGAGTTTTTAATTCTGTTTTTTTTAATTCAGAGTCTTGGTGCTGCTCCACATGTTTGGCAAAGAAAGTGCTTTTCCACCATTTCCTTAAGCTCACGGCATTTCTTTTATAATTTTTTAAGACAGACTTAGTTTGGTCACTTCCACTCCGTTCAATCAAATACACCTTTGAACGTTTTAAACTGTTGGACAGCTGTGCAATATAAGTACTATGCAATTTGACTGTACATACATACATATTTTCATAAATACATCTGACAGGGACCTTGCAACTAAGTATGTGAGATCATGGGACAAAATCACAACAGGCTGTCTTATCTGTAAAACCTCGATGCAAAGTAAGAAAAGCTGAGTTCTCTCATGTTGTCAATACACTTAAAAAAAAATACAGCATTAGTTTACTCATGAGATAATTGAAACGTATTTGCAAATGTCTCAACAGGAAAGGTGGGTCATTTACAACACTGAAAACTTTTAACAACCACTGACTTATATGCGCTGTAAGTCATCCAGACAAGGCTAGCAAGGATGAGCATCGTGATAGGTCCCAAAGGCAACTCCCAAACATCTTCCTCATGCGGAGACTTTGGTAATTGTCTGTTGTATAAAACRCCAACTCATAGGACTTCGATTCGGATGGCAACTCCACCAGTGTTCCTCACCCAGACCAGTCCGCTCACACCGCTTCAGTTATTGTGGAGACACTCTAAATCCACCGAGCAGCAGACATTCCCGTTCTGCACAGACAGACAGACAGACAGACAAACGAGTGTTATTCATCCCCACGGGCACACTGAACAGACCATACCATTCTGCTGCATCTTCTGCACACTCCAAGCACCCACCTAAGCCAGGATCCCCCCTAGGAGGCCATCTGATGTCCCCACGGGTCCCTGTTGTGGTGGCTTTTGAGAAGGTGGCATTMAACAGCCTTTTCTAAAGAGCCCTGGCCTTTTCTGCTCTGCTTCTCCCTGTACAGCAGGGAGAGATCATATTCACTAGCAGTCACAACTGACCTCCACCACATGGGAACCAGATTCCCAGCTGGAGAAGACTCAGCGGTCCATCCCTCATAACAAAACCTAWGGCCATGTCCACAACAAGGGTGACAGGATTTGTTTTCTCTCATGCCAGAGAAGAAGAAAAGAGAATTTTKCTCAGATCTAACACACAGAGACCATCAGCTTGTCTGGAATAAGACGACCCCTCAGATCCTCAATTCACAGCAAGATGCCTGGTGGAAAATGCCAGATGGTTTTGGAGTTAACTCTATCGTTAAGATTTTTTTCTGCTGCATCCAGCCATTTACAAAACTTTTCCATGTATTGAAACTATGATAGCCACCAAAACCCCCAACCAGGCYTTTTTTCCTTCTTCTATTTTTTAATCCAATACAAAACAATAGGAAATAACTCTGAGGAACAACTGGAAAGCTAACTTCAAAAAATTGAAGCCCCGGAGCAATGTTTCCATTTCACACAGCGAGCAGAAGGCTGTGTAAGATTTTATATCACGCAAAACAACGTTTTCATAATCCTGCCTGGAACTTTTTGCCGAAAACCGAGAGAAGAGCAGGTTTGCCTGAGAGTGACAAAAACCCCACAGATTTCGCAATTTAACTTTCATGGAGTCTTATCGTGGGTGACTTAGTATCAGTAAAAGGGATATTTTATGTGGTTTTTAGATAGGAGCTTCCAAGGCCAGAAAAGCAACCCCATTTTGAGGTCTCCCCCCACAATCCACATGTTACCATTAGCACCGTGCCCCCCATACCTTGCACTTGCAGGTTGTACAAGGAGATCCAGCCATGGTCCACACGGAGCCGCTGAGCCTGGGCACCCCGTAGGCATCCAGGCAGGTTTTGCTGATGTCGTAGGTGATGTTGTCAGCCAGGCAGGGGTCACTCACGCAGTGGGGGCAGCACTCGCCTTCCGAGACCGCTGTGAACTCGCAGCTCAGATGTGGGCACTGRAGAGGCCAGCAATCCACCTCTCCTTCCTGCAAAGAGGGCAATACAGCTCCCTGACTCCGTTTCATTTTTTATTTCACTTGTTAGCTAGTAAGAAACATCACATCTTGTTTAAGAGAAACATTTTATTTAACCAAAAGTGAAGTGGATTCCATGCCCTAAACCAGGCTATAAACTGAGCCTGTTTTGGTGAAGGGCTTAGCAGGAACAACTGGGTGAGTGCTGCAATTCCAGGCTGCAGATACAGCACTGCTGTAGAGCATCGCTGCCTTTTAGCCCTATCCGTCCACCTAGTCACAAAATTACCCAGAGAAATACTAACCATACTAACCTGTAAAACACACTATAAATAATGTTTTGACACTGTCACGGTCTCAGGATTAATGTCATTTATAAGCACAATGTTATGCGGATATCGCAGAGAGACAACGTTATACAGACAGAGAAGAAAGAAATAAAAATAGTAGTTTTAATGAAGTTCATTGTTGCATTAAATACACCCATGCAACAATTACAGCTTCTACCACGTCTAACAAGTGTCTTCAGCATCTAAGAAATGGTCTTTATTTTGTGCTTTTTATTTTGCATGGCCATCTAGCAATTTGAATGTTCTTTTAATCTCTTTGATACGGTCAACTTTTTTCCCACCACATGACCCAGCATTAGCTGGACTAAAATAATAATAGTAATGATAATAAAGCAGCATGTTTGTCCCCCCTCCAAAAGGTGCCCCCCGTACCAAGCAGCGGCACTGCTGGCAGCTGTAGGTCCAGTTGTCCCCGCTGCGGTAGAGCTTGTGGCCGCTCTGGTCGAGGCACTGGCTGGTGACCCTGGTGTCGCACTCGGGGCAGCAGAAGAGGTCGGCGCTGGGGTTCTCGCAGTCGCAGGCTGTTCTCCGGCAGAAAATCCTCCCGTCCTGCAACGGGAGACAGCAACGTTGTCCTGCAGTCAGTCACAGGCCACCACGAGCACCCCAAGGACAGGCCACCAGGTCAATAGCATCTAGAAGGTCTCTGTGTGGTAGGCGCATCTTTGGCACATCTTCATGTCACGAAATACAAAGCTTCGRAACTTAATTCCTAAATAAACTCAATTTCAATCCTAAACTTAATTCCTAAATTAAGTCCTAATTGCATGAGCAAACTTGCTGACTGTTCTTCCTTCTCCCATCAGCATTAAAATCATTTAGGATTTTGGATTTCAATATTTTGAACAACCATATCACTACGAAGGAAATAGCTTGAATATATAAATAAGGCAAAATATGAAGATACTGCCTTTAACTTCATAAAAACAGAAAAATCAGAAAAAAAGCAGAAAAACAGAAAAAACAGAATCGCAAAAAACACCCATAACATTAATCATTCTTTAACCTGACTTTACCACTGGTTCTGTTCTAGACCTGCACCTGCCGTATATTCACTTACAGCTATGCAGTCTGCAAACTGTCATCATCCCCTATATTCCTGCCCATGTTTAGAGAGGGCTTTCTATATTCCACGAGCTCTCCAAAAGATGATTTTCTCCTGCTTTTGCTAAATATTTACTTAGAATATTGGATGGCATGTTTTGGTAAAGAGCATTAAACAGAATTGTTTGAGATAAACATAAGAATTGCTTCTGCATATAAAAAGCAAAGGACATATTCCCTTTGCATCAGAGAAAAACAAATTTATTCTAATTCTAGCTAGGAAAGCTGGAGGGACTACCATGTTTGAAGTTATATCCTTCTTGTAAGGGGGCCAAAACATCAATATGCCACGTGCAGAACTGAAAAAATGAAAATATAGTTAATGGTGAGGTGAATATTTGGGACTTCTGACATTATATCTTTTTTTTTTTTTTTTTGCCAGATTTCTTTTTTGCCAGAGACCCTTTGGCAATGGTGTTACACTGCTACTCCCTTTATTCTTTATTCATCTGTGCTTTATCTACCCCCTCCTTAGCTCGATGCCTTCCAACAAAACCACGTATATCCCCACAGTGCAATGACACAAAGTCTCTTAAACGACAGCATTTACSCTGTGTTTTTGCAGCTCTATAATAGCACTGCATTGTTTAAGCTCTTCTCTGCCGTGAAAATGGGGAAGAGGACAGAAAACAACTTATTTTCTTTTGATGGGATAATAATATACATCCTCTCACAAGTCCTTGTCCTCCCCAACATCCCGGCTGAATCACTGCCACTCTCCTTGCAAACATTAATGGCATGAAGGCAAATTTACTCATAGCGAGGGAAAACCTGACACGCAGAGGCGTAATTAAGGCCCTATGATGTTTATATACTAATTATACAGTCAATTAATTAAGTTTAGAGAGTTTATGTTTTGGTAAACATTGTCCTGGTTCAGATGAATGAGCACGGTCTGAAGAGCCTGTGGCTGACGGAAACACTTGGATCATCCCTCGTGCTCCAGCCTGGAATTTCTCACGTCCTGCTCCACAAATAACCTTTCCCAAAGAATTTGAGTGTTAAGCCTCATTCCCCTTGCCCCAGATTTTAAGCTAAAACTTTTTTGAAACGGGTTCCACGTGCCCTATCTGCAGCCTGGACTGCATCCACCTGACCCCTCGTTGAATAACTACAGCCAAAGAGGAGCCAAGAAAACCCAACATCTTAAATCTGCTCTGCTGACTTGTCTCCTGTGGAAAGCAAGGGATGCAAGATGGTTTTCATGCTGGAATAAGCAGCAGGAGGGAGGATTTGGTGATATCCTACCCTTTTGCTCAGTGTAAACCAAGCAGGTTGCAGCGGGGTCAGGCAGGGACAGTGCTCACGGCAGCCTGGGGGCCTGGAAGCTCTCACAATTGCGGGAATAATGTTCCAACAGCAGATTTAAAAACAAAACAAAACCCCAAATCACTGAATGAGTACTTCATGTCCCAGTCGGGATATGACGGAGAGGAGCTCTCCTTGTTTTCCCTGTTTGACAGGCAAAAATTTGGCTCCTGAAACAAGGGAGATGCTGGAATGAAAAAAAAAAATGCAAATTTCTGTTCACAAAGGGAAAAAAACCCACAACAAAAAGGGGAAAGTGAGGAAGATAAAAAGGAAGAGTCAGAGCAACAAACAGTGCCAGGCTTATTCTAAAATATCTGTGTGCCAGTTAATCATGTGGTGCATTTTCATTTACTAATAAGTGCATTCAACACAAGACACGAGTGCAGCGAGAAATGACAAATAAAACAATTTACAAGCAATCTAAAAGGGGAATACTAATACAATACATTCTACAAAGGCAGACCAGATGTCTTCACATATATTAAGCTCTTTATTCTATTGACTGGAAATCTTTTTCGAAGGCAGCCAGTTCCCCAAGATTACAATAAAAGCTTGATATGTATTCAGCAGAGTTGCACAACTCAGGCTTCTGAAGGGAGGAGTTTTGGGGAGCTCGAGGCTACTTGAAGTGAAAAATACAGCAGCTAACARGAATATATTCCCACTGGAGCCTAAAACAGCAGTGCACTTTGTCGAAACCATTCATCCTATTGCCTTGATTTTCCTTTTGCTATGCTACTGCAGTGCAAAGATAGGGAAGYCTTCAGCTGCTTCTAACTTCCAAGCAACAATTCCCCTCTTCTCAAGCTTGAAGATATGAACATGGACAACCCAACTTCTCACTCTCTGTGTCCTGCTTTTCTCACGGGCYGCCGTTTTACTCATGCCATGGCTAGAGGTGGTGCTGCTAGGCCTATGGATAGTTTTACCASCACTGGGAATGCTGCTGCAGCCAACGTGGTGGCCCTGGCCATCGAGGGACATGCTCAAAGCCTTGTAGGGTTTGCTGGAAGCAGAAAACCCTGCTTTGCTGTTTGTTGTGGTGTACTGTGCAAACGAAAAAATAAAATAAAATGTCCCGGCAAATACTTAGGGTCCCAGAGCAGAGCTGTGACTGGGTGAGAGGGCCAGGACAGCCACCGTGGCACTCACCTTGCAGGAGCAAACGGAGCATCTGTCCTCCCTCAGCGTCCACACCTGCCCGTTGCGCTTCAGGCCGCCGTCGTGGGGACAGTCGCCCGTGCAGGAGGGGCCCGACGGGCAGAGGCAGTCGAAGCCCCCCGGCAGGTTCACGCAGGCCGAGTCGTTCCAGCACGTGTGGGTCTTCAAGGCACACTCGTCGATATCTGCAACACAGCCCGTTTGCAACGGTGGGGACACTGTTGGCCTTGGCGCCAGCTTGTACCCTCGCAACTAGCCCGCATCTGCCTTGGGTGGAGGACACCTCTCCACTTGAGAGCAAAGCAATGCAAGAGAAGGGATGGTTTTGCAATGAAACAAAGAAAAAAAGCAACAAAAAAGGAGAGCTGCACAACAAAGAGTTTAATATTGAATCTATCTACTGAGTTAATACAGCATTCTTTGCCTTGCAGCAGCAGCCACAAGGATTTTAAGCACACTACAGAGAAGAGGAATTTCTCTGACAAAGAAAACTTAGGGTTGTTCTTAATGAAGACCTGGGAGGATGTTCAGGTAAGTATAAAGGTAAAAAAATTCTGGTAAGGATATCATATGTAAAATTGCCAAACCAGAGATTTTTCACAATACCAGTCCAGGAAATAAGCATCTGCCAGGATGTGGGGATGAGGATGGAGAAGAGAAGCCTTTAGAAGCATCTGCTGGTTTCTATCATGAAAATTTCAGAATACTATTGTATGAATTTAGAAGAACAAATCGCCACGCTTGCCATTTAAAAGGTCCTCAACTGCTAGGGTGAAATATAGAGCTGYTTAATGTTACCTAGAAGCACTTTTAGTTCCTGTTCCAAAGAACAAATCTAAAATTTAAGTAGACTTGGAAGATAAAAATTACCTCCACTGATTTAGGTGGGACGTGATGACTAACTGCCCTGCTTGAGCAAGTGTCCTAGGCTCGCAAGCCATCAAAACACCAGAACTTAAAAAAAGATCTTAAAAATTTTCTCAGTCAGGTGAGGAAAACTGCTTATAACACAGAGAACACTCAAATCTCCTTGACCTCATTCAACTGTAGATTCCTCATTTTGATTTATAATTATAAGTTAGCCCTCCTTAGCCACGGAGGTTCCCAACGGCCAGAGAGCACAACTCCAATGTTAGTCCCTCAGCCTTGCAGGTGAATTTTGCTGCCCTGCCAAAGCAAGTCTTGATGCCTCCAGAAGAATAACACTGCTCTAGTCTTTAGCACAATTTGTAAGGTTTACAGTCAGTGTCTGCACCAAGAAAAATTAAAACCTGCAGCCTGCTGCTCAACGAGTGCCAAGAGTATCACAGAAGAACCACAAAGACTGACATGAAGAGTGAATGATCTGGAAATTGATTTATACCCACATAGCTACTGTAAGACAAAATCTTCATTTCAAGAAGCCTTGGCTGCTATTTTATGTTGAAAACAAAGATATAAAGGCAGCATTTGCTTTGGGTTTGGTGATTTCACTGAGCACGGTCAGTAATTTCTTCCCCACAATATTGAGGACTCCTTGAAGAGCACGTGTAATATGCAGCAGAATCAGAGCACCAATTAGAAGAGCATCTTTCACCGTCCAAAAATAAAAGGATTTCACAGCTGAATATAAAGCCATATTGCCTACAGAGCTCCATGTAATTGCTGTACTTACGACACAGAAATCTAACTCGGCTTCCATGTAATTTAACAGATTTATGGAAAGCCAGATGTTAGCAATTATAGAAACTAACATTATTCATACTCTCAGCAGTAGCGCAGACCTGTTCCCACTGCACAAAGCCAACCTAGATCTATTACATACATCCACAACAGAAGAGCCTCCTCTTTATGCACTGCTGTCCCTGTAGTTKACTTAGCACATATAAATAGGAGGTCCCCATTAAGAGCCACCCAAACTGGTAAATRGGACATTAGTGACAAAGGAGCCAATCAAGCAGATGCCAAGTATCAGAGCGTGAGCACAAATTCCTAATTGCTGCTCCATTTGCTCCATTTTTTCCCCTTTCTTTATGCAAATGATGGTTTCTTACTATTTTACGGCATTTATTATTTAAATGCTTTCACCATTAATCAAATACAAAAGGCCCGGACACTGCGCTTAATTCYAGCTGAACTTTTAATAGAGCTCATTTTCCTAGAACATCCCTTTGGCAGATCATTCTTGCCGCTGATTGAAGTTCTGGCAGTCAGGACAAGCAGACAATGTTCCCAGGAACTTGGGGGGAAAAAATGTTTTAAGTTTAACGTGATTTTTGTCCTTCCACTCTTTAAACTTCACACTACATTTTAAAGGGAATAAATGAATAAAAAAAGAACAAAACAGAACAACCACCACCRGCAACAAAACCCTGACAAATGCCTCCATTTTGTTAGTCTCAGTTAGTTTAATAAACGACTTCATCTAAAGGGAGCTGAAAATGGAATTGCTCATGTGGACATGTGATCAGCGTGTAGACTGCTAAGCTCAACATGGAATAAAATGCTCCTATTTACTGTGAAATTTCTCTTAACAACAGGAATTGATGAGTCCACTTAAATGTTGAAAAGTTACTCTAGCTTAAAATTCCTGAACGTGTCCAAAAAYAATCTTCTAATGAATACAAAAATAGTATGGGCAAACTCTCATATATTGACTATTTTTATACTATTCCAATACTTTATACTCTTCAAATCCTTGCACGATTCAAATTCCCTGCACTCCCAGGAGGTTTTGTTTGCTTTTCCACAATTCCTCTCAGAAGAGCTTGGCCCCAAACAGCACCATTTAATGCTGGGCAAGACAAAACAGTACACGGCACTACCATGAAAGTCTCTCTTTAAATACTTGCAATCTTTCCTTCTCTAAATAAATATACAGCAACAAGAACCTCATCACATATACTTCAAGTGCAATGCAACTAGTCACACTTTACGGATGGGAATAAGCTACATCCATTTCCTAACATGCTCTACAAGTACCTAGAGATACCTTGGTAGCACGGGCAGATTAAAAACCAGAATCAGTACRGAACAGAATAATCCCCTGAGATACAATTTCCTTTTCTCTCCTTTTTGGCCAAAACGAAAGGCAATTCGCCTCAGATATTGCTGAGGTCCCATGGCCATGGTGCTTGAATGGGGTAGAAGACAAGCACGACTGTACATCTCCACACAAGTTCATTACCTTGGACTCGCTGAGATCTTAAACCATCCCTAGCTCCTTATTTCTTTGCTTTCCAGGCTATTCAGCTGTTAATGGCCTGACTTTTCTATAGCACCTTAATAAACGTGTGCAAGTCATGCAGTGCGCTGCTCTGCAATATCATGATAAGCTGCTGCACAAGAAAGAGCTCTACTAATGTGCTAATTTTAGCTGTTATGCTACATTAGGCTATTACAGTATCACGTTACGTGAGAAATGTAGCTGGGCTCCCAAGCCAATGTATGTTTAAGCTAACTAAACACTGCTTTGACAAATCATTTTTCACAGGCAACTTGTCACTGAAAAATATATGTCTTCTTTGTAAGGCAAAGCAAGTGGTTTGGACTCGGCATTGAGAAGAAATCACTGATTTCTTCTTTCAGRTAGGAAATATTTTATGATAGCACTTGTATAGAGACATTATGGTCTATTAAAGAACATTGTACAGTAAATGAGATACATAATACACTATTTACTACTGCTTTCTAGAAATACAGAAATGACTAAGCACAAATACTTTTAAGTCAGGAAATGCCGCTTTTTCTTGGAACGTGAATCAGAATTTGCTAAATGGAAAGTAAGCAAGATTATTTTGTAGGACAAAACCTACAGATACAGACCCTGCTTTTTTGAGTTTTAGGCATTTCTCCGAGCAGAACAGAGGCAAGCTGTAATACAGCAGGTCCTCCAGTGGGTCTCAGCTCCTCTGCACCATACAGGAACCTTTCTGACCACGTTCTGCTCAACAGGGCTAGAAACACAACTCTCGGGCATAGGGGAAGGTTTTCAAGGGATTCAAGGTTTTCAATGGGTCTAGCCTTCTATTTAGCAGAGAAAGGGGGCAAAACCATCAAAGAGCAAAACTCCTACTCAGACAGCTTCGAACATGGATAGAAGACTGCAGCGTGCCATAAAATGYATTAAATTTTCATGAACTTCTTTTAAACGCACTCAAACCTGACCCTGAAGCCCTGGTGCACCCAACTTCTTTGGAATTCTGGCAAACCCACACAGAGGGTTTTATTTTTCTCACCTTCTCTCTCAGTCTTCTCCTTTCCCAAGCAGCTAATCTGCCCTGCAGCAAAGTCCAGCTAGGCAACTTTCCCATGGTTTTACGGTGGGAAAAGCACATTGCTGTTCAATTTCCCTACAGATTTTAAGCTGGTTCTTAATAGAAAAAAAAAATGAAATTAAAAAGAAAAACCCCACAACCAACAAAGGGCAGCGGCTGCTCTCTCAGTTGTTTTACTTTTTATTTGTTATCCTAAGGTGCAGCAAGAATCCTGGAAACTACAGCCATGTAAGAAAACATGGAAAAAAAGAAACATGGCATTGCAATTGCCATGCAAACTTTGGGAGCAACTTAGTACACCAATTGCTTTTTGCCAGCAAGCAGCATCTTCAATAATATATCGTAAAAGATCAGGGTATCAAAAAATGCTGGAAATCAAACTAAATTCTCTGATTTGGGCCTGCACGTCAGCACCACCTTAGGAAGCTGACATCTCTTATAAAGGCATGGCCATGGAAGTCTCTTCTGCTTCCAAAGTTGGCCGTGGTCGAGATTTTGAGCAATAAAAGAATTCCCCCAAGCTTGAAGCGGCCTGGCTAAGTCACACATCCTCATTTCCCAAGCTCCTGGGCAATATTCCGACTTCCCTGCCACATCCAGGGATTTATGCATTTGCAAGGGRCAACCTGCAAGGTAACCTGAGAGCCAAGGAGACAGAGGAGCCCCGTGGTGCTACAAAACACCCCAAATAAATGCTATTTTGGAAAGCATCCTCTGCAAGCACTGCAGAGACACTGCAAGCAATGACTCAGCTCCATCACCACCTCCGTATAATCCGAGGGTAAGGAGACTTTGCCAACRGATACACAAATGAACACCACAGCAGCAACTGCTGCCTGGGCTTTAGATCGCTTGCCAGAGCTACGTGTGCCCTCCCACTAACTTACCCTTTATATTTTTATTTAAGCTCCTCTTGCGTATTTTCCTTGGCTATTCATTGTTCTCTAAGGTTTGTCCTTCAGAGGGGAAGAAAAGATGCTTTCACAGCACCCTGAAGGACCCAATCCACTACAGGCGCTCGYTAGGGCTCCTGTACTCAGGCTCTGAAACACACCAGGACAAAACACTGTTGCTAAACACATAGATCTTCTTTAATCAGAAACACAGGGCATGACTCTTGCCCTGGCTCTACACACCCTGTTGTGCAACTACTTTCCGTAAAGGGATGTAAACACGGGCTCAATCAACAAAATTTTACCTAAAGCGGGCAGGAATATTTAGCTGCCATTCGAATTATTTCCTTATCTTTGCCTTAATTTTCTTCGTCAAAGCTGCTTTTGGAAATAAAAATCACAGTGTGAATTATTGTCGTTGGTACGGAATGGCAGAATGGTTTAGGGCAAGCTATGAGTAGCTCTTATCCACAGCACCCTCTGGCATTGGGGGGCTCTTCCTTCTTGCTTGGTGTTGTGCCAGAACGGGAATTTTCAAGGCAATTTTTAATTGCTTTGTGCATTGCTCCTGTTGCGGTATCTAAACCCCCTAGAGCAGAATTCCAAACACCTGAGAATCCCTTCCGGAATACGTGGATTCACGTGCTATTTTATTCACCAACTCACAGTTTTGGGAACAGCTCTTCCTCCTCTGCATTTTTCAATCCCAACCCTGTCTCGTTCTAAAGACCCTGCAATTTGCAAAGGATGAGAACGCACTTTACAAGGCACAACTGAACTTACACATTTACTACTACGAATCTTCATTTTTAGTTTAGTGACACTCTTAGAAACAGCCCTGTGTACTTCTGAGCACGAGAATAAAATGTACAGGTTAAAAAAAAAATAAAGAGTTTTTTAYAGAAAGAGGGAGAGGAGGAAAAGATGTGTTTTAGAGAAAATTCATAAAACTGAGGAGCAATGAAATAACTGAAATCCTGAAGAAAGGATGCAGAAGCAGAAGGTGGCAATGTGAACCCTGGTGGAAGGGAGATCCTTCCTGATCAGTTCTCAGCCCCTCCAGTGAAACAGAAATTGCTCAYAAGGCTGGAGGGGAGAAGTGAAAAAGGGGTAAAATGGTGAAGTGGAGGTCAGACATCGCTAGCGTCTTCCCTTTGGTTTTGTTACTCACTGTGGTGGCCAGTGAAACATCTGGAGCACCAAGGAACCACAAGGAGCACTGAGGAGGACCGAGGAGTACCAAGGGGCACCGAGGAGCACCGAGGGGCCCCAAGGAGCACCGAGGAGCACCAAGGAGCACCAYGGAGGACTGAGGAGCACAAAGCAGCCCCAAGGAGCACCAAAGAGCCCCAAGGAACACCAAGGAGCACCAAGGAGCACCAAGGAGGACCGAGGAGCACCAAGGAGCACCAAGGAGGACTGAGGAGCACAAAGCGGCCCCAAGAAGCACCAAGGAGGACCGAGGAGCACCAAGGAGCACCGAGGAGCAAAGAGCACCAAGGAGCAAGGACCTGGCTCATACGTTTTAGGCAACTTGTTATGTGAAGGGTCAAGCACAGCAAGGGTCACATTGGCTCCGTGGTGGCCTTCCCTCCRCAGCATCGTCCCACATCGCGTGGCTGGGGACACGGCGACCAGCGCCTGATTCCCATCTGAGCCTCCAACGGCTGCCCGGGACACGCGATCTCAACAGTCACACGACAACACCATGCACAAGTATTAAAAACACATATATATTGATATATATGAAAAAAAACAAAGCGCTCTGCTCATGGTTGCTTACCAACACAGGACTCCCCGGCAAGAGAGTAGCTTCCATTGTCATGGAAACCGCTTCTGCACTCACAGTGGTACCACCCTGGGAGGTTAACACAGCGTGAATGGTTGTGACACTCAATGATGCCCTCTGCACACTCATCAATATCTGCCTCAGAGAAAAACACAAGCCAGCCGGGAAATTAATTTCCTTTGACACCAATCTTTTTTCCTTTTTTTTTTTTTTTTTTTTTTAAAAAAAAAGCTTCCTTTAATACAGGGACCATAGTTTTAATATGGTTCCAAACAACAGACACCAACACGATTGACATGACAATAAGAACAATTATACAGCGCGGAGCGAGAAACGTGTAAGGAGTTGGGTTTACACCRTGATTTGCTTCAAATGGAAAGCAAGCATGCACATTTTTTCTTTTCTGGGCTTTATTTATTCAATTATTCGCTCTGGAAGAAGTTAAATTTGCCTGTGTGTGCAAAGCAGGGCACAACACCTCAATGCAAAAGGCAATTCCAGCAAGATTCCTGCTTTCCACACTGTCCATCCCAAGGCATYGCAGAAAGACAGGCTGTTTTCTTCAGGACTTCTGCTTACAGTGCTCACCGGTGCCACGTTGCAGCTACGTGGCACTGAATAAGCTCAGAGAATTAACAAAACATCAATTAATCTTGCCCTCATAACTAATTTTTCCATGCCATTTATAATATCAAAATAAGTAATGCATAATAGGGTATKGCAAGGAGTCAAGGCAGTCCATGTTTTGGGGCAATTTAGCTGGAAAAAAAAGGTAAATCTGCAGCCACGTCAAGGTACAGCAAGTTGAATACCCCACTGAGTATTAACGAATGCACTGTTTTTATACAGAAGATTTAAAATTTTCCTTCACAATGTTAATAGAGACCTCATAATAGCTTGTAACCTGGGTTAATCACGGCTGGCACCTGGCTGATTCCCCCCTTTGAGCGGTTTTCCAGCACATTTTGCAGGATTGTAATTAAAATTAGCAAATTAATTATATGTTAGCCTCGCGGTAATTTAAGAAGCTATTACATTTCCATCCCTCTGCTTAGCTCTAGCTGTATTTTTATCTTGGACAGTAGTCAGCCCTGCTATAAGTTCCTTATAAATTAAAACCCAATCTCAAATTGTGCACAAATGCCAGGTGTTTTCAGCCACCAAGAGCTCTTCTTTAGCACCACCACGCTTAAAAGATGAGTCACTTTGCGTATGCCCAGCACGCAAAGTTGGTGAAATTGGGTTATCTCCGTCTAGATCTGCTAGCATCTAGCTTCTAATTTTTCAGGCTTAAATCCCRGTGCCAACATGGAGTTAAGGCTATCAACAAACACAAAGCATGTTTTTTATCTTCATTTATTAAGCATCTGCACCCATATGGTTTCATTGGCTCTAGTGGACTCACGTTCACGTATGGTGAAGTTGATTTGAACGATGCATTCCTCAATACAACTCCCTCTTACTACATCTTAAAAGCTGTAGAAAAGTCCCATTTTTCCTCCTTTAAGCAACAATATTTATTCTAGTGAAAACACAGCCGAGAAACCTAAACCAAAGCCTTTTTCTCAGCTTTGGCCTCATGCTCCCTCAAGAACCAAGTTATCTCCATAACAGCGTTATAACCACTATCTATTTCCAGCTTTATTCAGCTTTCATCCAACAATAAAGTCAAATTGTTTATGCTTTAAAATCTGTCACTGCTGCCACCTCTTCCTGTACTTTATATTTTCCTGGAGCTAATTTTACCCTTAAAACACTGCCCAAACCCAGCTGTCCATCACCGCTGAGTGCCGCTTGCGGACTCAGACACCTTCAATCCATTACAGCAAATGGAATTTATAACCACGATCTCTTCGCATGTCACAGCTGATGGAACAAGTTTAATCCTATTTGGGAAGCAAACGACTTTGCTACAACAGCTCAACTGCTGATGATTCTTCCTCTTCCCCACCGTTGAAGGTCAGAGCTCTTGGGCTTGAAGAGCCCTTCCATGGGGAGCACAGAACAAGAGGCAGGTGGCCCTTCTCCTGCTAACCTCAGCATTACTTTTAGCACATAAAAATATGTCTAAAGGTAGAGAAAAATCTTAGGGATTTGTTTTAGAAATGCAAAGTTATTTAAGATGATCCCCCCTAGAAGCAGCAACTGGTAATGGGAGCTTTCTAAGAAGGTTGATCACCTACTGCAACGATACTTAGTTCACCTAATAGATCTTTTCCATCTCAACATTTGACGGTTTTGGAAAACCCTTTCTCCAAGGAATATCTCCATGGAAGATGTTGCTGCGTTTAACGACCACAACAGGGAATTAGAACCCATTCACTGCTCTGGATTTTTGCTTTTCCAGCGTCAGGTCCTTGCACTTGCACCTACAAACTTAGGATGGAGGTCTTCGTATCCGCGTCAGGCTTGCCGTTGTGCCATAGAACCTGAATTATAAATGGACTGCATTTAGGTGCCACAGGTGTGTGTGTACACTGGTACTTACTTCAAAAACAGAAGCTAAAGTGAAATGAAGCCTCTGACTTCAGAGCAAAAACCTGTCCTCAAGTTTTAATCGCTCCTTAAAATTAACTTAAATTTCCCCATAACCTTCATTTTTCTCTCTCGCCCTGGGCTCGAGCTCGGCACGCCCCTTGAACGAGTGCAATATTTCTCCTTCCTGACTAACTTCACACAGGATATTGCTGTTTTTGCCCCTGGTGAAATCCTTTTTCCAGGGCCTTGTGTGCTTTTCCCCCACTCAGTTATTTAACTGTCATTAGTACGGAGTTGTTAATGGAGTTGGTAGCACTCCCTAATAACAGGCCTTGCCRAAGCTCAAAAATGGCACATTTTTGCACGGCGGAATAAAGGCACCAGTCGGTTTTCAATAAGCTCTTTCAGGATGCTAATCCTGTCCTTTAAGGCCAGGTCTGTAATTTCTACTCTTACCACCCCGGCTTCTTGCATTAYTCATAAAGGTATTTATGCAGACAAGATAAATAGGATAATTTACCTCCAAAATAAAAAACAATGGTGTTTCTCTCAGTGGGGGTGGGGGAAAAAGAAAAGTGAAATTAAAATAATTCAGACTTTTCTAATGCTTCATCATATTTAAGTCACCGTGTGACAATACTGGAAGAAAAGCTCTTCAATGTCACCTAATAGCGAGCAATCTGCAGTTTCAATGACACAGAAGAGCTTTTATAATAAAAGTGGCTGTTCATCAGGTTCCTATGGTATGTTTCTTGGTGCAAAAAAAAAATATATAAGATCTTCTCTTTAGCCCTCTGTGGATCATGAAGCTGGTAAGCAGGAAAGCTGTGTGCTGGCATGGAACCATCACACAAGTGATGGGTTTTTTTGGCTTCCCAAAATAAAACTGCATGTTGAGGGTTAACCCTCTGGCTGCAGAGGAGAGTTGGAGTGAATGTGAAAAATGTGAATCTTATCCGATGCACAGCTGACAAATGAGGTAATCAAGTGTTTTACATAAACCTCTATAAATGCTGAATTTCATTCTTTTTTATTAACTCTTAYACCAGCTTTGACGTTTCTCTACAGCTACTGAGAAGGAACTGCATCTATTTTTAAATATGCACAATACAACGCACCGGCCATCCCTAAAATCTGCTAGCTTTCCCCCGTTCCAAGCAGGAGATTCTAGGCCATTTAGCCATTAAACAAATGCTAACTTTGAAAAACTAAGRTAATTGTCTAATTTAGTGACGACTCACAGCTCATGTGACCAGGTGAAAATTAAGAGCAGAGAGACATCAAAAATCAGAAAGGAGAGAAAAAAACAACTCTCCAAACCCTGACTGCTGACATTTTTTAACAAGCAATTTCTGGTAATTTCTGGTCACATAGCCTTAAATATCTCAAGTGACAAAGACATCACTTGTCTCTGACAGGGGCCAGGAGATGACTTTGGAGGAGTCACTCAGGAATCTTTTCCTTGACACTTAGCCTCTCTTAATTACCCTCATCTTACTTCATTTAGGAGATTACCAGCACATAATCAGCACCAAACAGCACGTTCCTACCTCCTCAGCAGCGGAGCCCGCTTTCAAAGGCGGATTTTAATGGCATTATACTAAGATTGGCCTCTGCAGCTCCTTCCCGGGCAGGAATATGTTTTGCCTGAATCAACAGGACCAGCTGAGCTCCCCTTTAGCACGCTGTGGGGACAGCAGGAACCTCCTAACGCTTCCATTTGTATCTTYATATTCCCAACAGGGAATATTACTCATAATCAGGAGCAGTCGAGCCCACGCACGAGTTTAATGGCCCTGAGCAGCTTTCAGGGGTAAAAGGTGTGCCCACCACTCCTTAGAATTAAAGCTCATCACTACTGCGCTTCATTTGGCCATTCGGGATCGGTGCTGGCAGATTTTTTAATAACGTGAAGCAGGCACTTTTCAACTGACGAGTTTGAGCACGGAGGAACGGCACGAAACGGGTATCGCCCCAACCCAGCCAGGCGGTCCCAGCAATTCGGAAGATTCCTTCTCGCCGTTCCCGGCGTTTAATTTGCTGAAGTCCGTTTTTAATAAGCACTGAGGGCTGATGTCTTTATCAGTTCAGCGCAGGGCGCTCTCACGCCCTCATATCACCCTATTTGTATGCTAAAAATGCAGCACGACGGGAGCCCGAAAGGTCCCAAGCCACCCAAASCAAGGTCAGCTCCCAGCGCTGTGGCTGCAGCAGAGCTTTGATTCACACACAGGACACTCGCCTGGCGGCTCCATGGAAAATGTGGCGGGAAGAGATGAGGCTGAGTGAAGACTGAGTTTGTATTTAGCGTCACGCTGGCGCTTCCCGCTGCAAACAGGGCTTAATTGAGCCCTGTTTAACTTAAGGAGCCGCCTGGCTCCATGGCCTACACTTGGGCCATTAGGTGGGATAAAACCTCTYTTCTCCACTGTGGTTGGGAGCGGGGAGAGCGGCAGCCGCTCTCCTAAAATCCCCGCGCGTCGCCCTGCGCCCAAGGGCAGCAGAAGCAAAACCAAATTGCTGGTTTAGATTATAAGCGTGTGCCCGCCTGAGAGCACCCCAGAGAGTTTAATAATAATGGGAAATAATCTCAATTAGTTTTTCCTTTTTTAAAAAATAATAAAAGAAAGAATCTTGCAATGATTATCAGCTTCAGA